CTGTTTCAATCTTTTGTTGTTTTGTTCTCTCTGCCTTACTTTAATAACAATATATGCTAAAGTATACTATTAATATCTTTATACTGAACTCAAATTGATTGCTAATGAATTTAAGTGACAAAATTAAAACATGTAAGTATCAGTTTTAATAAACTTTAATTTGAAACTTTCAGATGGAAGAGCAGAAATATAAAATGTAGAAGATATTTTTAATAATTGGAAGCCATGTCTTTCAAAATTGAAAATTATTATTCTCTCATCACTAAATAATCTGATCTAAACACATATAAGAATGTTACATAAAGTTAATTTACTCAGAAGATATAAAATACTGAAACTCAGTTTGTTTTATGCAAGTATTTAAAAGCATGCTTAAAGTTATCACATCACTTCATGTAAGATATTCATTAACTCTACAGAGATTTGATAAATAGCACAAAGTGATGTTTCCAGACAGTTTTATGGTAACTCCCAAAAATTCACTGTAATAGAATAAAACAAAATAATCTTTACCATAAGCTGATAAAATACAAGTAATATAAAATGGTGAAAACATCTAATTTTATGATATTATAATTTTAAATAGCTATCGAATATTAGAAATATACTAAGGTGTCTGCAAAGAACAAAGAAGTATGATTAAGAAATTTTGAATTTGTTCAGATTTCCTACATTATAAAAGGTAAATTTCAACTTAATTAAATGCAGCAAGTTCAATTAGTAAAAATTAGTAAATAAGGTGCTCAAACACAATTCCAGGTCAAATACAACATCACAAAATTAGGAAAGTTCTTTAAAAAGTTTGTAATTTAATGGCCTGATAAGATCTGTAAAACTGATCATACATTTGGAAAAGTCTACTAGATTTACTCACAATTCATAGAGATGTGACTGAAATCACGAGGAGAGACTCTCCCAGTTCTTCACTGAGACAATCCTGCCTCCTCCCCTCCCTCCTCCCCCAGGCCTTGAGCTCTCACCGCTGCTGAAGCAGAGAGACACACACTCACCCAGCTGAGTCTGCCGCGGGAGTCTGTGCCTGAGACGGCCCGAGACATGGTTATGAGGAAGGGGCGCCACCGGCTCCTCTCCCCCAAGGCCTGCGATTGTCATGTCACCTGTGGAGTCAGGACGGCCCTCGCCTTGGGACTGCTGGAAAGGGGAGCCCACAGGGAAACTGAACTCCTAATTCCTGGAAAACAGCAGGTGAGGAACAGCTGGGCTGCAAACTCCCCTGTGAGCTCCTTGTCCTGATCACCAGCCTGGGGGGTTGGGAGTCTCCAGCTCACCCTGATGCAAACACGAGTAGATGCCCCTCCCAGTTCTCAGTGTGTCCCCACCGGGGCAGGGGAGTCCCGGTGTCTTCACACGTGCACTCAGTGACCTCTGGCTGTGAGGGTCAACACTAGATGACAAACAGCTTTGAAAGAGTAAGGACGAGGCCACCTCTGCCACAGGGCCTCGTCCTCCAGGGACACAGGGCACTGCTGTGGGGGCAGAAGGCAGGAGCAACGTCAGCTAGGCCTGGAGTTGCCTTCATCTTGCTTAAATTACCAATATAAGCAAAACATAAATTGGTCAATTCCGGTAAATAATTATTTTAGACAAATATAAAACTTAACCTCGGCCAATCCCAAAAGCCACCAGCATGTAGCTATGGGACTGGGGACTTTCCAAACAAGACAAACAAAAGAAGCCCAATCAGTACACATCTCTGGGCCTTGCCAGGGCTGTGTCCTGTCCCGCACTGCGGCTCCTGCTCCCTGGAGCGAGGCGAGCGGGGGTAGGTGGGAGGCGGCCTTATGCCAGGCAGAGGGAAGGGCCTGTCCCATTTCCTGTCGGGGAAATGCCAAGCTCTCTAGCCCCTCCTTCTCTCCCTGCTCCCTGCCCACTGCTGGCCCATTGCCAGCCTGCACTGCCTGGAGATGCCCACACTGGCTGCGGGTGAGACGTGCAGAAGGGTGGCCTCGGGCCACGGAGGGGTGGCCCGCTCTGCCCTGGTCCCCAACGTTCAGGCCTCAGGACTACCAGCAAAGCCAGCTACGGTTAGGGACATTGTGGTCCACAGCTGACTCCTGTCCCTCCTGTGGTCCAGCGGGTAGGGACAAGGGACAGCTGCAGCCCACCTCTCCCCTGAGGAGCAGGCAGGTGAGCCTGGTCCTGGCCCCGTCCCCGGCTGGCGGTGTGCTCCACTCAGGTCCTGCACCTCTTTTTGGGAACCGTGTTCACCAAGCCTCCCCTGATTGTGCTGGAGTGATGACGGGTTTTGGGAAGTGCCTGCCTTGCTGCCTGGAGGGGGTGTGGGGGTGGGGCAGGCGCTCTTCAATGACAGCTGGTCCACTAGAGGGGCTCTCTGGGTGGCAAAAGCTGGATCCCAGATCTTTGGGACGAGGTCAGGGCTGGAGTCATTTATTTATGTAACACGCACTTCCGTAGCCTCTCCCCAGGCCAGGCTGTACTGACGGCCTTCCACTCCTGTAATCTCTTCACTCCTGACACAGGCAGGTGCTGTCACCACCTGTTTTCAAGGTGAGTCAAGGGGGCAGGAAGAGGCTAAGTGATTTGCCCAAGGTCAAACAACTAGGAACTGGAGGAGCCTAGGTGTGAGCCCAGGTGGCCTGGTGTCAGTCTGTGACATTAACCCTGCATGACGCTGCCTCTCCTGCAGCCACCCTGATGGCTGGCACTGGGACTGGTCTGCCCCGGGATTTCCCTCAATGAGCAAGCGCCTTCCAAAGTGGCCACCCTAGAGGCTGCAGGACCACTGTGGGCCCGTTGTGGGAACAGACCTCCAGCCACCCTGTTCCTGGAGCAAGACCACTCAGGACCCTCCACACAGCCTCAGTTTCCTCATCTGCAGACAGGTGGGAAGGGAGCAGTGGCCATCCAGGTGAGCGGGGGTGGAAGAACTTCCCAGGCTGGACAGAGCCCAGGCAGCGCCTGCCAGAGACGAGGGCCCCCCCGCTTCCCGCAGTGTGGCTGCGGCAGCTGCAGGCGCCTCTTGCTCCCTGGGCCTCGGCCTCCCCACCCCTGCGCCTGCCTTGCGGGACGCTGAGAACAGGGACAGGAACTTGCAGAAAAGGTGCTGTGGGCAGGACCTCCGTGACTAACATTGGGAACTGCTCTTCTGTCCTGGAAGGGAGGATGATTGAGCACAAATAAGGTGCTTTAAGTCATGAGTCTGCAGGGAAATTCCGCCTTTGCTCACAGTCTTCACTCTGAGAATTCAGAAACTCAGGCGACTGATCCTAGTTACTGATATCTACCCAGGAGGGAGGTTTGACTCTGGGACCTGGAGGGAAGGAATATGTACTTCTTCCTCCTAGAGATAGTTGTCAGTTTCCAAGGAAAACTAGTATTTTCTTTCCCAGTTATACACTATATTAATATTTCTTGAAACTAACATTTTTAAAGTTACCTTTCGAAAGAAAAAGGGGTGGAATAAAAGAAACCTCCTGGATTACTGCTCCCAGAGAAAGGGGCATAGATCTCAGTCTCCCACACATGAGTGTATCTCTCCCCCACAAGAACAGCACTGTGAATTGGTGGAGATCCAGCCCTGATACACAAAACAGGACCAAACAAGGTGAACAGGAGATAAGATTGTGATCTCTGGAGAGTGCAAAACAAACAATAGAGCACAGAGAGTGGGAGGGCTCTAGCCCGCCAGGCCAGCAAGTGAAGTGGGATCAGACCCACATTAGAACTTGCCTCCCCACTGACCTCCACATCCACTCAGACAGGGACCTGCCCGAGTTGGTGCAAATTGC